ATATGCGTAAAAGGGCAACTTCTGAGGGTATAACCAAATCTGGGTGTTGAAAGTCGAAACATAATCATAGATGTAGTACTTTGGTATGATATGGGAGGAAGAGAAAGAAGAGAGACATAATGATGAATTGGGAGCTGGAGAAATTCTCATACTTAATGGTTTCTTGTCGGTTGTAGACTTGTAGTTTAGACCATCTGATATAAAGGGTTCACTCTCATCACAAAGCTTCATGGATCAATGTTAGAATTACTCACTAGACAAAAACATGCAGTTGAGGTGTTGGGGCCCTTGGATTGGAAGTGCACTGGTGACTGGTGTGATGCAAAGGCCCAAAAAAATTGGGCTTAAAACAGTGGTCAGTGTCAGTGACCCACTGAGAACTGGAAAAATCTTCATTCTTCAGATGTAGACCCTAGAAATGTTACCTCCTCTCCCAGGGAATTTGGACCCCAGCAAGGAACAAATTGTGAAATTATTAGCGTCCTGCTGTCTGCTTTAAAACACCCAACCGAAGTTAATTGTGCCTTTAAGTTGTGAGCCTAAAACAGGGGTGGTCCTTACCATGATAAGGACTAACCAACTCCAACCTATAATTTAAGGTCCACTGATCATTTATTTATATAAGTAGCAGAACTAAGGCAAAGATATACCCTTTATATCGTTTTCAAAAGTTTTCATTTCTGCAAAATCATCCTTGATTTGGTTGGGCCTATATTGATTGTCTAATAGTACTTTCTTTTACAAGTTAGAGAAGCCCACGGAGTGATGGATTCTTTTTTTTAACCTAAAACAACTTCGTGTAAAGTGTAAACCCAGGCCTAATCTCAATGGGACCTTGGCTGGAAGCATAATTACTGAATTAATGAGCTAAAGACCGGAGCTTGGGGCTCATAAAACGGAGCAAGAAACATTCTCAAACGGAGCGAGGGCCATATTCCAACATGGTCTTGCTCTTACGGCTCAGAGGAAGAGACGGCGTAGAAACGCCACGTGTAGTGATTTGGGTGGAGGTGCATTTAATCT